AATGGTAATCTCCAAATGTTTTCTTTGTACCCCAGCTCCTCTTTGATAGCTGATCTTGTTGTTGCCTGCAGGTGAAGCAATAGGGGAGGGGGAGTTGTGTTCAGTGAAGTAGAGAGAGGCAGAGTAACGCTGCGTGGAGACAAAAGTGGACAAAAGAGAACCAAACTTGCGGCTCAACAAGTATAATTATAACATAGACTATATCGATATAAACGATGTTGTCACATCTCTTATCTCATATAAAAACACATCGATATATTTAAAAACTCGATATATCGCTCAGTCCTAGTTGAAGGTAATGTTTCATTTCTCTGCCGCAGTCTCTCCACAGTGGGATGCCATGAAGTTGTCCTTGATGATTGAGGAAGCCAATAAAATTAGTGCTAAACTGAAGAAACACACAGTGTTCAGCAGGTAGGAAAGAAAGGATGGGCAAAAGTCGCATATATTTTTTATTATGCATCATGTAAACACATAAATGATGAAGAAATCAGTGGCATTTTAAAAAAAAAAAAGTAAAAGCATGTAAACCTGTATCCAGTCCTATATCTATTCCCAAAAATACAGCTGTAAATGAACATGTGGCTGCTGTGAACCTCTGACCTTATTATTTTTATCGACTTTACTCTCCTGTTTTAGACATGAGAGCTCGGAGAATGAGAAGTGCGGTGGTGTGCTACAGGTGCGAGTTCAAAACACAAAGCTGGGAATTGCCACTTTCTGGTGTCTGGAAAAGTTCCAAAATAACATTGCTGCCATGAGGGAGCTCGAACGGGTAAGTCTGGGATCAATTCTGCGTTCAAATTCATAACCCTTTTTTGCTATCATGTCTTTCTCATATTAACCTGTGTTCTAGTAAGATAAAGCACACCTGTTCAGCCTCTCTCTTCCTTGTTTTGCAAATTCAGAGCCTGACATCAGCTCCAGTCACTTGCAAATTTCCTAAGTGTTTGACCTCATTTATAGTCCAGAATGGATTGTTTTATGCCCGACAGAGGGATGCTGCCTCACTTTGCCTTGCTTTTCTCATTAAGCTGAGTAAATGAGAGTGGACATGTCATCAGGAGTTTATTCACCACAGGGGGATTCCAGCTCTAAAGATGACAATGTGTTTTACGACCCCGATGATGAGTGGGAGCAAGATATATCAGCCTCTTCTTCCTCCGCGGCCTCCTTTTCTCGACGAAGGTAATTATCCAGCTCCTCCTATCCATAAATCCTTCTTCCTAGCATCTTACATTTACATAAGATTGAAATATGGAGGTGGGAAAGTTTTCAAAAACACTGCTTGTCCCTTAGGGAAGGGTGTGTGTCATCTTCATCAGAGCTTTTAGGAAGGAAAAAATAGACGTGAGCATTTTTGCACTGATTTGCATTGACCCTCTCTCTGCAAGGGAACAAGTGGACACAAAGCGTGCCACAAAAACAGTTTCCTTTTTGAAAAAAATGTTTTACTTTTCGTATGTGGAAAGTTGAGTGATGGTAAGTACTTCAAGTAAATTTGCAATACTTGAGTTATTTTCACAGCCCTCCCAGTTTCCAACATTGTGATTTACAACCTGGCACATATTTCTTGATAGTTAAACAGTCCTGTTTTCTCTCTTTTCCTGAAAACTTTCTGCTCAAAGAATATTCCCCTCTTTGGTGTATTTCTTGTGTTTATTAATTTTCACATGCATGCAGGTCAGGCCAAAGTGTTTGTTTGGGAGCGGCATGGAGGACACACACACACACACACAGCACCTGCTGTACATGCAGAACATTTTCCCCCTCACATTGTGGTTATTCTTGTCAAGCAGTCCTGGTGTTCCCAAACTACCGCTAGGCACAGCCAAATGAAACACTGCACAGGCTCTGGGGCTCCACCATATTGCTCTTTTACTCCAATAAACCTTTGCCTAAACAATCATCTCTATTTACTGACCTTTCCACCTCTGGGTTTCTCCTGCAAGTAAAGTTTATTCTCCTGTGTCTAAAGAAAAAGTCAGTATAAATGTTGAGCGTTGGCAGCAGTACCAAGTGGGTTTCTGGTTGGTTTGGCTTTAGAAGCAGGAGTTTGCTGAAGAGCAGAAGGATCTCAGGGCGTCTCTACGAGATCCGGGTGCATCCCATTCAGAGTCTCCACAGTGGCTCCTCGCAGTCTGCTGGTAAGGAACACAAGTAAATATGCATAAAATATTTAACGTCGTGTTCTTAAAAGGCAAATGTCGGTGGAATTGAGTGGCGAAAAGCTGCCTCTTGTTGTCTTTCTAAGTGCGACATTGTTACATGAATATAAATTTTTAGACCTGCATGCAGCATTCAGTGCTACAGTTGTTAAACACTCGACTACATTAGTTTTTTGTGACAAATGATCATCACCCACTCTTCTGTGTCTGACCCAGGGTTAATGGGTGTGACCAAATCCCCCTCCCTCCATTCCAGCATCTCAGACCCTGGGATGCCTGGCATCTGCAAGGAGCTAGTTGGCCAATC